TAGTTTTCAATGAAAAATTTATTCATATTTGTTTTGTCAATTTAATAAGCAAAAATTACATCGTTTCATTTCTATACTTTTGTGTCATTTCATAAATGGAAGAAACCCAACAGAGTAATATAAAAGCATATGTAGTTCCTGTTTACCCGTTCCTAAATAACTGTTACTCATTAATGTTCATGTGTACATAATTTTTGAGCTCACGAAAGAAAGTTTATTTGTTCGTTAATAGATAACATGCAAAACAAACGAAATTAGATACATAAAAGAAGTTACAAGTAAATAGCTAATAACAAAAACAATAAATGAATCTATTGGATAATTTACATTACTATTTTCTACTCATTCAGATAGAGTAAACGTTTATTATAGTTTAAAGATCATAACCTTGAGACTGAACTTCTTTATTGTGGGTGGTTTAGTTTATAATTAAAAAAAAAAGCATACTCAAAGAATAATTTTCTTCTATTTCATATTAATCATGAAGAAAATTCTGACATTTATACAAGTTTCTAATAAGAAACTTGCATGCATCTTATTCAGGAAATGTGCCCAATGGATTACATTCTATCATAAAGGTTAGAAAACAAAAATTATTATAAGAATAAATTAGACTATCGTATTTTCTAAGGAAAAAAAACTCATAATATGTTCTTGACGAGAGAAAAAAAGTAATAGAGTAATCTAGCAAATTATTCAATCATTGTCAAGGTCATTATTTATATTTGTTTTCTATATAAGTATTAATGGACTTGTCAATAATCCATATATGTTAAGTTCATACATTGTTCTAGCATCATTCAAGTGTCATGAAAGCTTATATTGATGGATTATCCTTGTCAAATAACTAATTGTATGAATGACTTGAAATACTGTTATGTTTATTAATATCTTACTGAACTGTTGTTTTTTTTTTAAATTACTTTATAGAATTTCATAGTTTTATAACTATGACAATTCACTCTATGATTGAAATTTATTAAGTTGTAATTGAATGAATCCATCATGTTCTTCCGATCATGATCATTTCTATTTGTTTTTTTATTTCCTATCAATACAGATAGTTTGATGAGTAAAATGATTATCATAATCATTCCATTGGACTATAGAAATACTTTGAATTGTTTTTACAATAAATATATTTCATTAAATCTTTTGAAGTTATTTTATCTCTACTTCACTAAAGTATGTTACATTGTCTATATAATTTATTGACGTAAGTTCCTCCGGAAATGAGTGGGTTCTTAAAAGTATATGATATCCTTGAGACGTTTCTTTTCTTTCTATTTCATCGAAATAGATTAATCAGTAAAGACTTATACTTGTCAAATTTTTATTCCAAAAAAATATCTATACTTAATAAAATTGAACTAAGAATGTTGAAAAACATCAATGAGAAGAAGAAAAAAAAGAAAGGAAATTTGTTAATCATATTCTTGATGTCAAAAACAATATCATCAATTGGTGAATTTCTCCATACGCTTGACTATTTAATATAATACTACTCAATAAGTTTTCGACGGAGTTGTTTTTATTTATTCTCATTAGATTGCTTTGTATACATCCTTTAGATAATAAATGGCAGTGCTTCTTTTTTTTTGTTTTGTTTCTCATTTCCATATCATTCTTTCTTCACGTCATTCTGCTTGAAGTATGATTGACATAGATATGTATTTTGTAAACATTTATCTACAGCACATTATTAAAGGTCAAAATATGTTGAATTTTTAACGTTTGTATATGGTCATAGACAGAAGACAAATACAAACAAGACATAAAATGTCCTATATAATTTATTATCTAGTTTCTCGATTCATTACAAATAAAAATGCAAACAAAGAAATCCCTTGATGCTTCTCATATTAACAAAAAACAAACGAAACCATAATTCTACATCATCGATTTGTATATAATCTGTACATGATAGTAGAATCTTTTTGGATGTCTAAAAAAAGAAAAATTGAGCATTATTTTTTTGTAAAATGATAAGTGTAGGATGCCCGTAAATTGATAATACTAACAAGGAATTAGATATTTTAATTTTCATTATTTAACCATTGATAATAAAACTTCTATTTTTTGATACGTTTCAGTATAATAAAAAAAAACAACATCAAATGACAATAATATAATTAGAAAAATTCTATGTCATAACCATTGATTTAATATTAATTGTTGTACTTTCACCACCATTTACCATACTTCCAATATAATATCTTGATGAATGTCGTCTTGATGATGATGATCGACCATTTGATCTTGAACGAGGTTTACAACCATATCTTAATGTATATAAACGATTTTTAAATTCTTCTCTATATATACGTGATAATAAACAATTTGTATAAAAACGTGTTGCTGATATTAAATACCATGAAAGATAAATTAATATAATAATTAATTTTGCTACAGTTGATTGTGCAACAAATGTTGAATATTTTTCAAATAAATATGCTATTTCAGTTATTATATGTACAAGTATAAATGGTGCAACATTTATTGATATTAATATAACCATTTGTGCATCTAAACGTGAACGACGTCGACGTATTTGAGCTAAACGATTTGGTGAAGTTATAAATTGAGAATAATTTGTATTATTTATTGTTGTTGATGATGGTGAACTAACAAATGAATTCGATATACGAGTTGTAATCGATGTAGAATTACAATGAACAAGTGTTTCTAATTTAAATGGTACTGGTACATCTGTATGTTGTTGTTGTTGATGATTATTTGAACTTGATGTTCGAAAACGTTTTTTAAGTTTAATTGTAATCATACATGTACGACATATTGATATAAGAATAATTGCAATCGGTACTGTCATATAAAGTGTTATATACATAATATGAATAAATATTTCACATATAAGATTTTTTTGTCCACAATCATTATTAAAACATAACAATGTGTAAATTATATTTTGTAAAAGACTACAACATATTGTTATTAAACATAAATAAATAAATTTTCTTCGTGTACATAATGTTTGACTTTTTGTTGGCCATTCAACTTTAATCCAACGATCAACAGCAATAAAAACAAATATCCAAGAAAATCCAAAATAAAGTTCATAATTAAAACTTAAATAAAAAAAAGAAAAAATCAAAATTCTCCAATTATAAACATAAAAAAAAAAACTTACATTGTAAAGAATCGACACCAATGTATAGATAATGTAAAGACATTTATTTGATAAATAACATCAATAAAATATTGTAAACTTGCAAATAAATTCAATATATCAACAAATGCCATTATAAGAAATAAAAATCCAGTGGAATGACGACGAAGTTTTTTTGAACTAAATGTTATTATTGATAATAAACAACCTGTATAACCAAATAAATAAAGTATAATACATGTAAATACAATAAGTAAACGTAAACCAGGAATGTGAACAGGTATAAGTAATGCTGCTGTTGTTGTATTATTCATACCGAAATTCATCATGAGGAAATTTTCTTCTTCGTCTTCTTTAGGAAAAGATCTATGCGTTGAAAATCAAAAGAAAGGAAAAGCAAAAGAAAAAAAAGAAAGAAAGAAGAAGGTTATGATATAGAAGAAAAGAGAGAGAGAGAGAGCAAGAGATAGGAGAAATATATATATCTTTTTTTCTTGTGGATTTTTTTTTTTTTGCTGCATCTATTATCCTCATGATAATTGTAGGCGATAGACCAAACAATTTAACACTTTTGTTGTAATACATTTCAATAGTTTGTTAGAAATGTTTGGATAGAATACTGTCTACATGTATCTATGTGCACATCAATCCAAGTTTCTTTTATTTTTGATCTCTAGACAAAAAAAATGATATATGTCGACACGCGATTTGAATGTCAATAAAGTATAGAAAGAATCACGCATTGTTGACGTTCTAGGAAAAAAAAAAGAAAAGCTTTTCTAATAACACTAGTATGTGTAAGTTTTAGCCATTTAGTAATGTATATTCGAACCGAAAAGATATTGATGCTTCTTAGTTTTGTTTTCTTTTTCTCTACTAGTATTGCTAATAATACACTCAACTATGATATATTTGATTCTTTCATCTATCAGTTAATATCACTCAACATGAATTAGTCATATTTATAATACATTAGAACATCCATTTATCATTGTAATTAGATTCAGTCATCGCTAATATTTCCTAAAATACTAAAGGAAAAAGAAAAAGGTTTTTAGTAGAAATAATTATTAACATATTATCAATTTTCTATCTATATATTTTGTATTTGATCTTTCTTTTGTTTTTTGGTTTTTTTTTCATTGAATATTCAATGCAAGCAAGCATTTCTTACCTTAATTGTCTATAAAAATGTTATTATTAATAACTTTATTTAATATATATTCAAGAAAATAAAAATAGATGAACCTAATGAATAAATTATTGAATAATATCTTATTCACATTTCAAATTTTTTGTTTTATTTCGTTTTATAAATACTTATGAAATGATATGGTTTATTGACTAATAAGCTAGATAAGTAAATCAGAATAGTATCTATATAGTTACTATAAAATCCTGAAAAACATAAAATGTCTGCCTATCTATTTGATGATAATTATTATTATCGTCCACATATGCTTCTTATTATTCCGGATGGTCTGTAGAATCAAAAAAACAAATGCAAGAAGACAATAATAATAATATTAATAATAAAAATTCTTCAAAAAGGATACATTTCCTATTGCTCTATTGCAAGACTATACGCGAAGAGTAAGTGTTTTATTTGAATGATTGAAATAGATTTATGTTGTGTTAAAAAAAAGATTCTACAGATAGCATTGTTCTTTTCACAGGAAATATCTGCAGGCTATATTAATGTCGTTTTTCTTTTTTTTTATCTTCCTTCTTAAATATATACATAAGAAACAAAATGCCTCGAAGATTATTATTATCCATCTCATTTACTATCATGATCATAATAGATCAAATATTTTATTTTTATAAAAACAAAAAAAAAGAAAAACACAATTTTTTTTTTTTTGTTAGAATATTAAGTTTGATGTGTACCACGATGTCGTAATATTTCTATACTTGTTAATTTAAATGTTTGTTCACATATGTCACAATAATAATCTTGTGTTAGTGGAATACTTGATGTTGTTGTTGTTGTTGTTGTTAAATTACTCAATATATTAGTTTTATTAATATTTGATTGTGTTGATTTAAAAATTGGATTTTCATTATTACATAAAGCTTTAAAAACAAAAAACATATTTATTGACATCATGCATAAAAAATGATATATTTCTATTGTTCGGACAGATGTTTTTTATTCTCTTTACTACAGAACTTTTGTTATTTTTTCTTTACATATTAATTAAATTTATTGGTACTTTTCTTTTTCTTTCTAAAAATATTGTCGTTCTTATTACCTTGTCCGGAAAGTCCATGCAACTCATATACTATGAAATCTTAAGATAACAATTGCTGCATTTTATCAATGTAATGACCTTCGCTAATAGCTATACGTAACTCATTAGCAACGTGGGATTGCTAGCGAAGGTCATTAGATTGAATAAATGCAGTACTTGTCAACCAAAGATTTCATAATGTATTAGTTGTATGAACTTTCCGGACAAGGTAATATATAAATTCACTAATGAAAAACTTTGAAATACATTTTATAATTAAAATTTAATCTAGGAGCAAAAAAAAATGCGCTTATTATCATGTGAAATAGTTCGTTAATGATATCAAAAATAGTAAAAAGATTAAGGAAAAATATCTGTCTATTCTTTTAATTTAATATAGAATAGACAGATCCATATAGATAATAAAATACTATGTTTTTTTTAACACATATTAATGTTCTGTTGATATATATATATACAAATTAAATGAATAATATACTAAGTGTACAGATAAATAGGAATTAGAAGAATTCTAAATAGTATTTTTTGTTTTGAGAAAAATCAACACTTTAAGAATTCCGTATATTTAATTTTTACAATAAAATATTTGGATCAATATGTTGAAATGTATTCAAAAATCTGGTAGAATTTTTATTTATAATATATTTTCCAGATGTTAATTTCTATGGAATTAATATTAAGTGACAGAAAACTAATTATCCTATACGATCAAAAACAAAGAGTATCTTAATTATAAGATGTAGTTATTATGTTAACTAATTATGAGTTCAATCAATAACATGAGAATTCGATCATTATAATTCTAACCTAAATCTGCCTTTTTTTTTTTTACTATAATATTTCTCTTTCTAGAAATGAATTCTTTTCTTTTACAAATATATAGGATAATATATCATATAAAAATGTCACCAAATGGTTGATATACGATGCGCTGCCTTCGAGGCCATTCTACTATGAGAGTTATAAATCGATACATTAATCATCAAGATCAACAACTGAATTTTTAAAATTTTCTTCATTTTGAGATATATCCAAAAAAAAAAATTGAGTTTGTTTTTCGATTGTAAGCTGATTTTCAATATGATTATTAATCGAAACGCAATTTTAATGTAGTGCATTTTGTGTTGTATAAAATTGTTATAAAGATATTTCAAGAAAAAATTTCTAAAAAGGCGAAAGTGCATAAATTTATGTCTTATTTGACTGAAATTTAACAGATTTTGATTAGAAAAATGATGATTTGATCAAAATTAATACGATATTCTGAATTCACAATCAGAATCTGAGTCGACTTATGTGTAAATTCAAATATATTTGAGATTTTTCATCGAGAAATTCATTTCTAGCCTCCATAATGATGTAGTCAAAAAAAAATGGAATTTATCATCCTGGCAAAATAAGTTTTTATTGAACTAAATCTTGAGGAGAAGAACCAGGAATGAATTTTTCCATGGTGAAAAGAAAAAATCTCTTAAAGATATTTTAAATACATATCAAATGACTCAATTTCTAAAGCTGAGATTCAGAATAGCATATTAATCTTTATCAAATCATCATTTTTCTAAGCAAAATCTACTAAATTATCAGTCAAACAAGACACAATTTTAGACCTCGGAAATAATTCGTCCTCGCTTTTTTCCTCACAATCTTTATAATATAATCGGTGACAAGAGTTTAAACGATATTGTTTCTTTTTACACATTTGTTTTTTCAATATTTCCTTCATATGAAGAGGTACTGATCGAAGTCAAGTGGCAATATCGAGAGTAAGAGAGAGGCCAACGACACGATAAAGTATTGAAGGGGGAACTCCATCTGTTTACATAGATTTTCATATAATTAAAATAAGTTTTCAATATTTCGCATTTTTTAATCAAGAAATTTACGTTTTAAAGTTGATTTTTTCCATCAAAATAATTATAAAAGAATGATCTATTTTTTTTCATATTTCAATGCTTATAATTTCAGTTTAATGTTAAAAAACAAAAAAAAGTATATCTTAATTTCGATTATTTCGTATAGTTTCTCTATATAAATAATTAATTTTTTACTATAAAATTTTCGTAATATTTAATTTGTCTATAGAAAAAATATTTACAATTTAATTGACATTGATTTTCATGTGCAACACGTTCAGCAACAGTAACAAGAATATCTTCATTACAATAAGGACAAATCCAATGTTTTTGCATTGTTGAACCAGCATATTCTGACCAAAATGATTCTTGATCATCATTAGATCGTAGACTAAAATTAAAGTTAAATTTTAATAAAAAAAGAAACCAAAGATTTCTAACCAATTATATGTTAAATATTCATTAATTTTAGTACTTTCTTTATTTACAATTATATCATCATCATTATTATCTTGATTTTCTTGAATATTTGCTCGATAGATTGTATCTAATTCAGCTAAATAATTAAGAACAAATAAAAAGAAAAAAAAAACAATGATATTTTATTTTCTATGATAAAATAACGAAATGATTTACCAGGTAGAACACGTCGAATAGCATAAAGACATGAATTTTCAAGAAAATCAGTCATTTTTTTTGAAAGTAAATGTTGCAATTCATATGTACGTGGTTTAGACATAAGTTCAATATCAAGAGATTTATTCAAATCTATACAAAAACGAACATTTTTCATTTCAAAAACAGAATATTTAAATACCTTGTAATGTCATTTGAAGGAGAAGATCACGTGCATTACGTAAAAGTAATATTGATGATATAATACTTTGTGCTGTTTCAGAATTTTCAAATTTTATTTCAAGCCATTGATCACAAAGTATACGAGTAAAATCATTATTTGTTTCAAGTGTTGATGCATAAAGAAATAATGTTTGCATTGCTGGTGTACGCATTACATTCATTATATAAGGTTTATTTGTTTCAAGTAATGTACTAGATTAAAATTAAAGAAATTTATTAAAGGAGTTTTTACTTCATTAAATAGATCTTATTAAGATTGACTAATTCATTATGAAGGTATTGAATTTTCTAATATGTTCTGCTCGTAAATATTCATATTGAAAAATTCATTTATATGAAAGAGTAAAATTTGTTCATGTATTGATATTTTCAAATAATTGAAACTTCATTTATGCAAAGTTTGATTTCGAAAGTGAGCACGACATTTGATTAAAACAGTTAATAAAATAGCCATACCAGGATTAAAACTTCTAATAAGCTCACAAACGTATTAGATGAAATTGATTGGCGTCTTTTTTAAATCGAATTGGTTCTCTCCATCTCGAATAACTCAACCGACGAGATCGCTGAGCACAATGTCTTTTCGATTTTCTCTACTCTCAATAAGACCTATCTAATAAAGGACAACTTATTTCAAAGTACATGTAACACGTAACAAAGTACCAGGCCTCGAAACGAGCTGGGCGGCTCGACGACCTTATCCTTTTTCTGAGATTTGGCTCATCCCTGACGGAGGATAGGGGAAAGTTTCTCCATGCTGCCCTCTCCTCCCTTGGTCATCACTTTTTATAAGAACCGAAAAATATGAAATAGCTGTCTATTGAAAAAAAAAAATCTTTGTAAACGAAGTTCCTTTCGGGCCCAAGCCGGGCTGGACGGAGCCATAAAAAGTGGCCTGATTTCGAGGCCTGCAAAGTATCCTTGTATCAGTGTTTCTTCAAGACATGCGAATGATTTATATCAGACTATTACTCATTAAATCTTTTGAAATCAATTATTGAGTGAACTGCAAAATGGCAGTTGTTCTTTTTACGAGCTATCTAACGGACATAGATACTAGTTTTTGATTATTTATTTATCTTTTACAACAAAACAAAAATAACTATCTTTGATTTTTGTTTTTAATTCGATTGAAGAATAAGAAGTTTTTTGTTCTATTATAATATAAATTTTTGCATACTTACACATAGACAAGAAGTTCATGTTGATTGCTGAATACAATTTTTTTATTATTTGAATTTGTTGAAGTTGGAGGAAGTAGATTATCTGGATCATAAGTAAAAACACTAGTTGGATGTAAAACAACAAATTGTTTTGTCTAAATATGAATAATAAATAATATTGAAAATTTATTATTAGATTTCATAGATTATTTGTTTATTTTTTCTTTTTTATACTTTTGTATGAAAAAATTGATCACAATCACGTTTATAATTATTAAATTCATCAGCAATTGCAACTTGTGGATAAAGACCAGAACAAAGTATTAATGTAAGCATATTTATATCTTTTGATCGATAATTTTGACTATCAGTAGACATTTCTTTTAATGCTGATACATCATTAATAAGACGAAATTCAATATCACGAATTTTATCGGTTGTTTTCATTACTTGTTTTGTTAAATTATCATCATCAGTCATAGAATCATTTAACGATGAGTCCTATTTGCAGATATATATATATTTTATTACAAAAACTTTTCTTATTAGATATAAACGTAAATATAAATCATTTTTTTTATTGTATGAAAATACACTTCTATACTTCTATTGCACGATTGTTCATACTACCGGCAATAGATTGCCAGTCGGAGAATAATTATCAGCATATTGCAGTAGAATGGTGGACAGAGAATATCCGAGCATTTAATTATTAAGCTACCGCCAGGTGATTATCGATATACCGAAGGATTTTTGTCTAGTTTGAATCACATCGGTAAATAAGAAGTTTCCGAAGCATTGAACTGACTATCCTTTTTTTCTCTGCCTCAAGAGTAAAATTTAAAAAAAAACAATGATATTCGCCGGTAATGGCAAAAACATCGGCTATAATTTGATAGTTAAACGATTGGATATTCTCTGACTAGCCATCTACTGTCAGTATACAGTCGCTTTCTGTGGGTATCACGGTAGTGCGATATGGGAAGGACTCTATCAAGCATTGTAGTCTGGCATGCTATCTATAGGATGAGAGTTCATAGAGAATTTCGAGCTGCAAAATGAGCTATTTTTAATCTTTGTTTGATGAATATCTCCTCAAGAAATGTCATTGTATAGAACTGAAAATTTCATATGAAGATTATTGTTGTCATGATTATTATGTTAATTAATTTTTCTTACTTCTAATTTAAGAAATTTTCTTTGTTTTGATTCTTTATCATGTTCTGATCTAAGATCTTTTAATTGTTGTTTTTTCTTCCAATGTTCACGTTTTTCAAGGGTTGTACGTCGTTTTGTTTGTTGATAATCAATTTCCATATTATAATCCTAAAATCAAAGATTTTTTTTAATATTCTTTTATTAATAAAAAAAAAAGAAAACAAATCAGTCTTCTAATACTCGAAGAATCTCTTGAAATTGTCGACGAAGTTTTGTTATATCATAAAGACGTTGTTCTTCAACACCACGTCGTTTACACCATGTACGAGTATTTTGTCCTTCAGATTTTACCTATAACCCAAAAAAAGAAATAATTAAAAATTCAAATAAATAATTTTGTCTTCATACATAAATCCATTCATCAAAAAGATTTAATAATGTAAATGGATCACCATGATTTGACATCATTGGACGACGACGTGTTATTGTATCAGGATCACATTGAAGAAAACTAAGAAATGGTGATTGTATACTTAATGCTGATGCCATTATTAATATTGGATTAACATACTAAATAAATTAATAAGATTTTTATTTGTTTTTTTTTATTTTCTTTTTTTTTCGTACTTGAAAAATACAAGCAAATATAAGCATTTTTCCAATAGAAACATCAACAGGAAGTCGAGCAAGCATTGAACCAATTGATGTTAATGAACAATCAATTGTTGATAAAGCTGCTTGTTCTTGAAGACGAAGTAAAGCACTATCAATAGCTGTCATATCTGGTGGTTCAACAAATGGAAATCTATTTGAAAAATAAGAAAAAAAAAAGTTTTTAGTACAATCCCTACGGGACTAAAATGTGAAACACAATGTAGCTGCTGCTGCTACTGCTAATGACAGGAAGATTATTTTTGGATCACATTTCTTCACCATCGTTTTACTTAATCTACCATTGTGATCTTATATCAACAATATCTATCGCAATCTATGTAGCAGAGCGGAAGTATTGCTAAGGCAGTTTGTCCTCATCTGTAACTGCATATCAATAACATCTATTGAGATCTCTCTTCCAAAGGTGTCTATAGCAAAGAGAGAAAGCCATTACTAAGGTGTCTTTGACTGCTTATCAATTCCGTTCATCATGATTTGTAAGGAAGGAGTCGGATGTAAATTTCTATCTTCAATATTTCATTTAGTTTGTTTCTGTTGTTTTATATTTACTTTCTTGGATCTTTTAAACCCATAGAAATCATTTGTAGCATAAGTGAATCAAGTGGTACACGACGAATTTCTGGTGTTGAATATTCTTGAAAACTTAAATAATCATGTTCACTATATAAACGATAGCAAACACCAGGTCCTGTACGTCCAGCACGACCTTTACGTTGTTCAGCACTAGCACGACTTATATTAAATTCTTGTAAACGTTGCATTTTATATTTTCCATCATATGACATTTCTTTAACTTTACCAGAATCAATTATAAAACGCATACCATCAATTGTTACTGATGTTTCAGCTATATTTGTTGATATAACACATTTACGTACACTTTCAGGTGGCATATCAAATACCTAAAAAAAAATAATCAATAAAAAAAGTTATTCTAATAGATCGACTAGTTTTTTTTTGTTTTGTTTCATCTTTGTTAAAAGATTCACTCTTTAATTCTTTACTATACGTTCTACTTCAATTTATCTGAATATTTATAGTAAGTTTTTATTATATTAAGCAAATAATCGATCTAATAATTACAATTTAATTTCGCACGAATCTCAATGGATTATTGAATAGTCAATTATCTATAGTAATAAATGATGAAAAATCATATTCATACTACTATTGTATTAATTTTTTAATCTATCAAATATATCTACCATAGTCAAGCCTGAAAATTCTTTCCTTTGGTTTATGTCTGTTTCCTTTCTCTAATAAACTTCCAATGCTCGTCATCAAGATCGAATCTGAACGCTCGGATTTAGTATATATCGAGAAGATCCTAAATTATAGACTATCCATTAATTTGTTAAGAAGTTTATATACTTTATCTTGTTCTTCGAGTGACAATGCACTATGTAATGGAAGAACAATCCAACGTCGATTTTCTTGAGCATATGATTGAACTGCTTCCATAACTCCTTGAATTTCAGCCATACCACTTAAAAATATAAGCATATCACCACGATCTGTTGATGGATACTATATCAATAACAAACAAAAAAAAACAATTGATGATCAATTATTAAGAACAAAACAAAAAATTCAAATTATATTTTACTTTATTATCAATTTGTTCCAAAATACGTAAATATGGTTTTGCATCAATCTTTGATGTTTTTCCAGCTGATTCTTCAACTTTAATTGGATGATAATTAACTTGAATTTTATATAAACGACCTGGTACCTAAATCAAATTTAGAATTTTTGTTTGAAAATAATCAAAAAATAAAAATCTTACTTTAACAACAGGACAATTTTCAAAATAATTTGAAAATAATTCAATATTAATTGTTGCAGACATAAGAATAACTTTAAGATCTTTTCGTTGTGTTATTAAACATTTAATAATACCCAATATAAAATCAGTAAATAAATGACGTTCATGAACTTCATCAATGACCAATATATCATAATCTGATAAAGATGAATCAGTTTGAAGTTGACGTAAAAGAATACCTTTAAATAATAAAATTTTTGAATAATAATTAAAAAAAACAAAGATTTATCTACCTTCTGTCATAAATATAATTCGAGTAGATTTTACTCGAGTTTTTTCAAAACGAACCTAAATATATTATTGAATATTTATATTTACAATGTTTTGAAAAATTGATCATAAAGGAATATTCTTTTCAACTGAAACTTTTAGGATATTCTAAGAATCATTAGATTTATCAATAGACAAAATTTTAGATCAAGACTCAATTATTCAGTCTTCCTGGTTAGTGGGTCATAACTCGGCGTTGAAGATCAATAAGGATGAACTCTTGCTATTCGCACGTACATAGTTCCAATATGAGTTTAAATGGCGGATGTTACTTGGGTTAGTTCGCTCAGGCGAAAAAACCATTTCCGAATATTCCTTAAAATCGATGCAGTTTCGCCAAAAAATGTTGTAGAGAATCAGTTGCTCTATATCAGAGATAGAACCGGTCCATTAGTAACGCATGCTATATCCATAGTTTACAGTACTTGAGAAAGAGTAGTTTAAATATGGAAAATGCAATTTTTCGCGTGACAAACTTGATGTACCAAGTTGTATCACATACTTAATTCAGAGATGAAATCAGTCTGAATTTTCAACAACTGGTACTAGTCTGAAAAGGTCAGACAGTTCAGTCTATCGGCAGATTCGCCGATCTGAAATTCGCATCGACCAGCTCCATTTCTGTTCTATATAATGAAAAGAAACTTTTATTTTCGGATTCTATGTGATGAAAAATTAGGTTTTCTAGAGAGCTTGGATTTCAGAAATATTGTAAAGATTTTATTTCTCTCAAACTGATTTTTAGAAGTATTCAAGAAAAAAAAACAAAGTAGAATTCATTACTTGATATCCAACTTGATTATCATATTCATTTAATGTTTCATAACTAACACGTTTAGCTAATGAAATACAAGCAATACGTCTTGGTTGTGTACAAGCTATTTTATCAAAACCAGCTTCAAGTAAAAATCTTGGAATCTAAAACTCTAAAATATTGCTACAATTTTTTTTGTTCAAAAAGAAAAAAAAAGGAACTTTAATTTTTAACCTGTGTTGATTTTCCACAACCAGTATCACCAGCAATTAAAATAACTTGATGAATTTTTAATTCTTCAAGTATTTCTCGACGATGATTTGCAATTGGCAAATTATTTTGATCTTGTCGAAGTTTATGAATACGTTTAAACTATGTAAAAAAGAAAAGTTTCGTTTATGAATTATATGATAGGATTTTTTTTTTTTACTTTTTCTTTTTGATTAAAATCAAAATAATATTCAATTATTGATTTAAATTCAGCTAATCGTACAGAAGACAAACGATAATGATCGAGAATTTTCTCACCAGTCATATCATAACGTGGAACATTATTTATTAATGATTTATTTATTGTTATAGATATATTTAAACGATATTTTTTATCATAATTTATTGGTATATTTAATATATTTGATCGTTGTTGATCAGTATCTATAGATATAAAGGAAATATTTGAAATTAGAAATATTTTTCCTATGATTTATACTAGTTGATATGGATTTAGATGGTTGTGTTTTTCGTCGTTGTTGAAATAATTGATATTTTTGTACAAATTTCCAAAAATCTTCAAGATCTTTTGGAGAACTAGACAAATTATAATAGATAAAAAAAAAAGGAAATATTCAAAAGAATTTATAAACCTAAACATAGGACTATCAATAAGATATGTCTCTGTAATATAATCACGTCGAGCAAGCCAATCAAATGATGGATCAATGATTGGTTCTTCAATAGGTTGATCTATTGGTTTTGATCGATGATATTTACGATGTTCATCTTCATTTCGTTCATCATCCGAATTATCTTAAATAAAAGTTTTTATCATCTTTTATTAAAGTGATTTATATAAATACATACAATGATGTCGTTTATGTTTTTTCGTATGGCTCATAATATTGATAAACAAAGTTTATAATAGAAATCTAAAAGAAAAAAAAAACATTTTCCTTTTTAAACTTTGCTTATGTACAAAAACTAAATTTTTAACAATCTCAAAAAATCTTCGTATCTTTTCTTAAACGTCAGTTCATAATTTAATACTACATGCAGCTTTTAAATTTCTGGAATTGAATTGTAAATTTTTTCAGCCAATTATCCGGAGTGTCCCCAGGTAGCCAGGGTTGGAAGAGGAACGAGAGTTCAGGAAAATGATTAGAAAATTTTTGCTAAAGTTGATCGGCTATCAAAGTAGAAAGAGTGAAGCGAAAAACAATAAAACTATGGAACTCAGTTAGAGAAAAATGAAAAAAAATTTCTAAAATTCGTGGGATCACTGCTTGGGAACGTGTACCTCTGAAGTAGTAGATATTCTGTAGATTCCAGTTCTGCTTGAGAGATCAGCTGAAATTTCAATAGAAATATAACATAGAGCACCTCAATATACTATAGCATAGAATTGATCAATAAAGACAAAGTTATTACTATTCGCATCTTGTTATAAAAAATACGTTCCAATGTACAAAAATAAAAACCAATATGGAAAATAACATATATAGATAATAACACAAATATACACATATTCATCTGACTGGTAGAGACCTGCGGGTGAACTTCGAAACCCGATTCCAACTCTGACGAAATCGGGTTTACTGGAAAAATTTGTCGGAGTCTAAATAATAACTATCTCTAATGAACTTTTACTATTTGATACTACAATAACTTTATTTTACATATTAACAAACAAAAAAAAGTGAAAGACAGCACTCACTACATATATTAAGAATGAATTTCAGGACAAAAAAAAAAAGAAACGGTCACCTTTCGGCTATAACATTCGAAAGATCAACCTCATAAAAACATAATACTATGAATCAAAAAATATTTCAGTATACAATAATTCTCATCATCATCAATTAACATTTGCTTAATAGAGTCCTGTACGAAATCGACTCTATTGCTCGGGCATAGTACATGTCGAATACTTCCTAGTTATTGTTTCGTTGCACAACAAATGAAAAAAGAAATTCAAAATTAAATAATAAAATACATTAGAGATCGTTTTGCTTTCGAGAGAAAAATTTCGAAATCGGAATACAAAAAAACCTGACTCCGCGAGTCTCTACTGATTAGGCTTAAGAAATACTTCTTTGAAGTGATTCTTGTACTATCATATGTAATATTAGTAATAAAAAAACAAACAAGGAAAAAAAATACGAGTAATTATTGTTCTTTTGTTTCATACATGTTAATGTATTCGAAAGAATTAATGAAGAAAGTATTTATAGGAAACAAGATCAGAAATCTAAAACAAGTAAAAGAGAAATTTGATAAGACTAGAAGAAAGAAAAACGTATTTCATAACTTAATTTGTAAGTAGAATATATAAACAAAAATTAGATGAGCAAATTTTCAACAATATTGCCAAAAAAAAATAAGCAAACTGCTTTTTCTACTTTGTAGAATACCATCATAATACTTCGTTTTCTTTTTGCCAGTAAAGTGTAAAACACAGTACTTTGAGTATTCTACTTTTGCTTGAAATATTCAATATTACAAATATTGAATAACTCTCTATTGCAAACACTACTATCCCTATAAGAAGAAATTGTCTTACACAATTAGTTTAAAGAAAATAACCATTCTCTTTCTGAATCAATAGATGTCACATTGAATAAAAGGAATTTTATTCAAAAATCAAAAAATAACAAATTACACTATTTTTTATACTGTAATAATCATTATTATTTAAGAAAAGAAAATATTTTTTGAACATTCTATACTAATAAAAAAAATATAAATAAATTTAATATAGCAAGAATATAGATTGCTATTTTTTCACGTGCATGAATAAGACATGTATTAATTGTTATAGAAATGAAATTATTTTCATTTTGTAAATGTAATATTATAAGGGATTTTTATATAAAAGGTATCATTTTATTTACTATAATATATATAATACTAAGAAAGGATAAAGTAATAGCAATCAAAAATTTAATTTTAATATAAAAACGATAGAGTTGAAATGATGATTTTCGAATAGCTTCTATTTTGAAAGTAATAATGTTAATAATGGACAGATAAAATATATATATATAAACTTATTTGTGATAGACTGAATGATAAATATTTTTTAATAGGTAATTCACATAATGGAATTGCTATTCTATCATTGAAATTGAAAAGTTTTTCTCGTTTGACATCAATGTCGACATAATAATACGAAAAGATGAGACTAGTGAAGACTATCGGAAAAAAAAATAATGAAATGAATATTTACAAATTCTATAGGAATTATATGGCACATTATTTAAATATATACAATTAGAGATTCAACAAATCTAAAGCCTATGAGATTTACTAATTCGCTATCATTTACATAACTGTATCTATCGAGACAAGTTGTACATTTATATAGGTTATCAGAAAATTAGTTTAGAGTGAAGTATTTTTTCAGACTGTTCGCTAACAAGTAAACCACTCGAAGTGATACTTTGCCTTTGAAATTCGATCCTAGTCATTACGTAGGACTTGTTGAAACTAGAAGAATTCTTCTCCTTGCATTGTTCTGTTAGAGTCATGACCGTTACACTAGATTTTTTACTTTTGGCAAGGTATTTAAAAAAGAAATCGGAAAAATGAATTTTGACCTGAAACTTCACTGATGGATAACTCTTGAAGTCATTTGAATCTTCTAAAAATTTCAGCCAAAAAAAAATGGTCACTTCTCGAGATACCAAATTCATACAGGTGGAATATCATGATTTTTTTCGAATGACTTCAAGAGCTGTCTATCGGTAGAGTTTCAAGCCAAAATTTGTTTGTCTGATGTTTTTTTTATAAATACTATGCCAAAGATAAAAAATCCATTGAACAACCATAACTTCAAAATGACAGCGCAAGGAAAAGAATCCATTTAGTCTCAATAGATCCTACGCAATGACTTGGGTCTCATATCAAAGGTGAAGTATCACCTCGGGTGGTTTCCTCGTAAATATAAATGCTTTGCGTTGCTGCTCTATCAAGCATTTCTAACAATTTATTATCTATTGGACGATTCTAATTCACAACCGGCTGGAAGAAATTTCAGACTAGTTTCACTCAAAGTCCTTAAAATATGCCATATACTATCTTGTAGTTCTGTTGTGTGTAACTTCTACAACTATATACTATCAACAGCGAGAAGTTTAGATTGTTGGGTTTGCTTTACACGATGAGAATTTGCGTTTCTATTCCTACTAAAAAAAATAATTTCGTTGATCGGATGTGGATGTAGATTAGATCCTTACGCGACGAGTTCAACTGTTGGAGTCCGTATCCGATGCGAAACTCTTATTTATTTATTTATGCTCGATTAGTTATTTTCTTCGAATATGAGTATTTGATACAAATCAAAAATTTGTGTAAATGTACGGACTATGTGTCAAAATGGCATCTAAAGGAGAGTGTGGGTGTGAGTGGAGTAGAAATGTGTATTTTCTTTCCCAGTATTCACATATCCACATCTATCCTAGCGACGATGAAATTGTTTTCTATCCAATACTAGCTAAAGCATGGCCAACAGTTGTAAAAATTCTGATACATAGTTCTCTGGTTTAGGATCACTATCTGGTTTTACCTATACGAATACGTTTTCTTCATCAAAAACTAGAATTATACGTACGTCACAGACAAAATTGGTTTTTTTTACGCTTCTATCAAATCCAATTTTTACTCGGCAAAATTCGTTCTCTGTTCGTGATTATTTTATATCATCTCACTATCAATTTCTTTCATTTTCATGAACAAAGTTCATTGAGTGTTAAATAGCTTTCGACATTTTCTTTTGCAATATCAACAATGACATTACAACAATCTACATATTCTCATCCTATTATCAATGATTTTGCATGTGAGAAATTTTATGAATTTGCTAAAAAACATATTGATGCGTTAAGTCCTAAATTTCGTAATAAAGTTGTTATCACTTGTGTTCAAAGCAAAAAAATAATCAATGTACTTCAGAACAAGCTATCTACTGAAAAGGTTTCCGGTCGTTTTTCTCACTGATACAAACAAACGTTCACGCTTCGCCTTATCACTGATCATCAACTTTTATGTGATTTTAAAGAAGTTAAACCTGTTCTTTTATACGAAGACAATATACTATGTTTATCAGACAAGCTACAACATGTCTTAGAAAATTTCCTTTCTTTTAGACAGTCATCTCGCCTCAACCGGTTCTTGTTCAGAATACACATTCTGTGCACACATACGCTAGTACGACAACGAATGGGGGTGAAGGGATGTGCATATTCTGAAGAAGTACCTCTCAATCCATTTTCATCGCTTGCTCGAGAAACATTCGATTCTTTTAGACAATCACTCCACATCAGTTCATTGTCATCAAAGCAGGGCGTACAGATACTGTAGATCAAAAATGATATATTCATAATACAATTTAACCAATCATTAAAGTCCCCATATCCCCATCATAGAAAGGAAAGTTACTCATAATAAAATTTCACCAATCATCAATATTCCCATCTTCCCATCATCAAAAAAATGACTAATTTATTATCACATAAAAAAATACTACGCATCTTATATCTTTGTCATTAAATAAACTAAAAAAAAAAAACTTTAAATTTTGAATAAACAAATGGACTTATAACTTTATAAAATATATCTTTTTTTGCAGAATCAAAAGTAGCAATTGCAATCTCAACTAGATTCCAAACTCACTTCCTACATCTATATTCAAGCAAACTCAAAATGATTTTTTCATTTAATACTAAAGTAAGTAAAAAAGGTGATGAAGAATGCCGAAGCTTCCATATCAATTTTTATTATTAAATTTTCATGTAATAAAATGTTACATGCGGAAGATTAATTCGATCAGTATAGTTGAAATAACATTTTGAAGGCATCTTTTAAGAAGAATTACCGATATTGATCATAGTGCCTTTTTATTGGGATTTTTCAGATAAACGTTCCAAAAAAATTCTCTAACATTAGTCTATTCATGCAGCATACGATGAGTTCTATGAAAAATTCTTATTATATGAATCCAAATATATTTTTATTAAATATTTTCATTTTTAAAACTCAATTTCATGTCCTGTATTAAAGCAAATCTTAACCAATCTATAAAAATCCCTTTAGAAAAAAAAACATACGTTTAGAATAACAAAAAAAAGAAAAAAGAAAAAGAAAAGGAATTTAACTTTGATAATGTTCTTATATACTATTACAAAACTATCAAGGACATAAAGCAAGCATAAAAGTTATATCGATAAAAAATAGTAAAACAAAAAAAAAATAACGATTAAAAACTATCATTTTCTTTGAGTTGATTTTTTAATGATACATGTTCATCACTATCAGCCATACCATTCATATCTTCACATATCAATGTTTTTGGTTTCCAACATGGCCTATAAATTCAAAAAAAAGAAAAATAATAATAACAAAGTCCGTCATTTATTTTTTCTGATTATCAAAAAATAAAATTTACCAAGTAAGACCCATTCGATCAACATCATGAATTGTTTCAGGTAATGGTTTATTCATTGTTTCTGGACATATTGTTGCAAAAACTACAGCAATAAGAGATGTTGTACCAAAGACAACAATTGGAAAATGAATCCATACTCGAGCCTTAATAAATTAATTGAATATTAACAAATAAAAAAGTCATTTACATACTAAAAGATCATTTGATAATGTTCCAATAATAGCTCCAAAACGTGCAACCATTGAACACAGTCCAATTCCTGTATTTCGTCCTTGTGTAGGAAATAATTCATTTGCATATATGTATATAATAGCATAAGATCCAGATGCAAGAAATTTTAATACAACATTTATTATAAACATAAGAATATATTGTTCTAAAAACCTCAAAAGTTTAGTTGTTCGTTTTTCCAATTATAAATATATTTCAATACCTTGACTATTTTTTAGCATAAACATTTGAATAGGTACAACAAAGAATGAAAAAAGTCCAAATAAGAGTACAAATATACAATAGACTAATTTACGACCCCATCGATTAAGTACAAGATGAACAACAAAATAGGCAACTATTTCTACTAAAGCACCTGCCAAAAATGCTATATATGGATCAGTTAACCATGCACCTAAAAGAATAACTTTTGATTAAAAGTTTATTAAATTATTTGTTTTACCAGTATTTTGTGAAACACCATAGAAAACAAGATTTTGTACAAACCTATTTTATACAAAAGATCATTAAACAAAAAAAAACTAAAAGTTCAAGTATAAATTTACCATTGAAATGACATATTAATTGCGATGATAATCATAATTTTTGATTGAAATAAACTTCTTAAACCATGAGATTTCTTTGGATATAATGCTTCTCTCTAGAATTTTCATAGATTTTGTCTTGAAAAAATAAATTTTCTTTGTTTTTTTGTTACTTTTTTTTCTTCATTGATTAAATCATCATATGCTATTGAATCAAAAAAACTTCCATTTGTTTTAGCTATTCGACGAAGAACTCTTTCTGCATGATTATAATGTCCTTTCGAAATAAGCCAACGTGGACTTTCTGGAAGTATACTTAAAACAATACAAGATTTATAAAATAAAACTAAAACAAAAACAAAAACAAATGTATGATTTAATTAAACTTACAAATAAAAGAAAAGAAATGGTATTGATAATATAGCTAAAGCTGTATTTAATAATCGCCATGTTCGAATAAAATAAGCAAATCCTAAAAGAATTAATTCACCACCAGCAAAGAAATATTCAATAACAATGCCAGTAAATAAACGTTGTTTTGGTCCAACTATTCATAGAATATATATATTTATATAATGTTAAAAAAAAGTATAAATAATATATATCAACTAACCAATTTCAGAACCTAAAATGAGAAAAAAATTTCAATCATTTCTGATTCTCAATAGTAATAAATATATAAAAAGTAACACATACCAATAACAAAACCTGTAAGAGCAACACCACGTGTTGCACAAGCAAGTAAAAATCGACCGAGTACAAAAAATGCATAACTTATTTCAAATCCAAGTTTTGGATGAGGTGCAAATGCACACATAAAACTTGCAATAGTTATTAAAACAAATGAAACACCCATTATAGGTCGTCGACCAAATCTTTATAAAAACAAAAAATTATATTTTATTTTAACAAAAATTTTTATCAACATACTTATCAGATAGAATACCAAATACAAGTGAACCAACCATATAACCAAAGAAAAAAACAATTTGAACAAAACTTTTAAGAGATATTCGATTACAAACCATATACCACTAAGAAAGAAAGTAAAAGTTTTATATATATAATAATTAAAAATTTTTGATTAAAACTAAACCTCTTCAACAAGTGTTGATTGATAATATGTTCGATCAAAAATAAAATTAGTACAAGGTTTCATATGTGTATCATTATAATAAGTTTCATTAGTTAGTTGAAAACATCTTTGACATTCACTTAAAGATATTTGCTTTTGATATTGATCACATTGAGATTCACTTGGTTTATAATTCTGTAGAATTTTATCAGTTATTGAAACTTCCGATATATCATCCATTGGTGTTCGACAACGAAAAGAAGGTGTAGCTGCAGTAAATGACCATGTATAAACCATTATTGGAGGAAACATATATGTTAAACATATTAA